AAATACTTCCAAGGAACAACTTTCAAATAAGCAGTCACTACTGGTATCTAATATGTGCTTATTATAAGAGACTGAGCTAAAGACGCTTCCGGGAAACAAGTAACCCAATTCTGAAAACGCAGCGTTTACTGGTATATAATATGTGCTTAATATAAGATAATATTAGAACTTTAAGATATTAGGGGAATAAATATTAGACATATTTTGAAAACGCAGTATCTACTAGTATCTAATATGTGCTGATTGCAAGAACGTATTAGCACTATTAGATGCTACAGGAGACTGTGTTAAAGAGTTTTCCAAGGAAATGAAATGGGGTTTAACGTCCTACTGTTCTGCTGCTATTGAGCTAACGAAGGGGCATATACCATACAGTGTGCTATGAGGAACATTTGGCCCGGACAGCCGCGTTAAGGCCTAATTATATCGAATTCCAACAACCAAGGGATCCTTTACGTGTATGCCAATGTGTACATGGGACTTCGGTGTTTCGTCCCATCCGAACGTCTAGGCAGCTGTCCTTGTCAGGTCCTCCGTTCTGCACCACTGACAAGGGGAACCCATGTCGGAAAAGTCTTCCATGGAAGAAGTAAAACAATTCCTCTGAACCGCAGCGTTTACTGGTATCTAGTATGTGCTTATCATAAGACAATATTAGCACGATAAGATGCTAGAGGAGACTGTGTTAAAGACTCTTCCAACTAACAAGTAAACCAATTCTGGAAACAGCGTTTACTGGCATCTATTATATGCTGCTTATTATAAAGGATTTTAGCACCATCAAATGCTAGGGGGGGCTGTGTTCAGGACAACAAATTATGAAAGTGCCCTAACTAATATGTACTTACTACAAGAACATTTCGGAAAATGCAGCGTTTACGGGTATCTTATATGTGCTTATAAGAAAATATTACCACTATAAGATGCAAGGGGGAGACTGTATTAAAGACACTCCCAAATAGTAAAAATTTGCCGTAACTAATTTGTGCTCACTACAAGAATATTTCTGTAAATGCAGCGTTTACTGGTATCTTATATGTGCTTATAAGAAAATATTAGCACTATAAGATGCAAGGGGGAGACTGTGTTAAGGACACTCCCAAATAGTAAACATTTGCCGTCACTAAATTGTGCTCACTACAAGAATATTTCTGAAAATGCAGCGTTTACTGGTATTTAATATGTGCTTATTACAAAACAATATTAGCACTATCAGATGCTAGTGGAGGCTGTGTTAAAGATACTTCCAATTCAAAGATAGACAACTTTGGATAACGCAATGTCTACTAGTATCTAACATGTGCTTATTATAAGAAAATATTAGCACTATAAGATGCTAGGAGAGAATGTGTTAAAGACAACCAATTCTGACAACTCAATGTCTACTGCTATCTATCTGTTGATTGCAAGGAACTATTACCAATGTAGGGGAGACTGTGTTTTAAATAATGATTCCAGGCATAATTAGAACATATTTGAATATGCAGCGTTTACTGGTATCTATTATGTGTTTATTACAAAGGGAATAATAGCACTAGGGGAGGCTGTATTAAGAAAAGACACGTCCAAGGCAAAATTAAACAAAATCTGAAAACGTAGCGTCTACTGGTATCTAATATGTGCTTATTGCAAAACAATATTAGCACTATAAGATGCTAGAGGAGACCGTTTTAAAAATACTTCCAAGGAACATCTTTCGAAATCGCAGTCTCTACTGGTATCTAATATGTGCTTATTATAAGAGACTGAGCTAAAGACGCTTCCGGGGAACAAGTAACCGAATTCTGAAAACGCAGCGTTTACTGGTATATAATATGTGCTTACTATAAGATAATATTAGCACTTTAAAATATTAGGGGAATAAATATTAGACATATTTTGAAAGCGCAGTGTCTACTAGTATCTAATATGTGCTGATTGCAAGAACGTATTAGCACTATTAGATGCTAGAGGAGACTGTGTTAAAGAGTTTTCCAAGGAAAATGAAATGGAGTTTAACGTCCTACTGTTCTGCTCCTACTGAGCTAATGAAGACGGGCATATGCCATACATGTAGGAAAAGTCTTCCAAGGAAGAGGTAAAACAATTCCTCGGAACCGCGGCGTTTACTGGTATCTAGTATGTGCTTATCATAAGAAAATATTATCACTATAAGATGCAAGGGGAGACTGTGTTAAAGACTCTTCCAACTAACATGTAAACCAATTCTGAAAACGCAGCGTTTACTGGTATCTAATATGTGCTTATTCTAAAGGATTTTAGCATCATCAGATGCTAGGGCAGACTGTGTTCAGGACAACAAAATTATGAAAGTGCCCTAACTAATATGTACTTACTACAAGTATTAGCACTATAAGATGCTAGGGGGAGACTGTGTTAAAGACACTCCCAAATAGTAAACATTTGCCCTAACTAATTTGTACTCACTACAGGAATATTTCTGAAAATGCAGCGTTTACTGGTATTTAATATGTGCTTATTACAAAACAATATTAGCACTATCAGATGCTAGTGGAGGCTGTGTTAAACATACTTCCAATTCAAAGGTAGGCAACTTTGGATAACGCAATGTCTACTGGTATCTAACGTGCTTATTATAAGAAAATATTAGCACTATAAGACGCTAGGAGAGACTATGTTAAAAACACTCCCAAGTCATAATTAAACATATTGAAAACGCAATGTCTACTGCTATCTATTATGTGCTTATTGCAAGGATATATTAGCACTGCAGGGGAGATTGCGTTTTACAAAATACTCTCAGACATAATTAGAATATTACTGGTATCTATTATGTGCTTATTACAGGGGAAATATTAGCACTACAAGATGCTAGGGGAGGCTGTGTTAATAAAAACACTTCCACGGCAAAAGTAAACAAATTCTGAAAACATAGCAGAGTCTAACGCAGGAAGACCGCACAAGAATACATATAGACATTGCAAGAAATATACAAATATCACATTAAGTGAAGATGCTAGGGGATACTGTCGAAGTCACTTCAAAGGCATAAGTAAACAAATTCGGTAATTGCAATATTAGCATATGACATAACTAATTTGTGCTTATATCTAATATTTTCTAGGAGCGACTGTAATAAAGACTCTTCCAAAGCACAAAGAAACAAATTACACGTACCATAATTAAACTGTGATTATTAAAGACAAATTCTGAAAATGCCGAATGTACAGGTATCTGATATGCTCTTATTATAAAAATATTTTAGCACTGCTAGAGACTTCGGAAAATGCAACTAGACTATGTTTATAATAATTAAAATTAATACGGTTTATCGAATTTCCTGTTATCCAGTTTTTACCCGCATCTTATATATCAGGTGCTAAGATAGACTGTTAAAAAGAACATAGTTGATGTGTTTCGTAAAATACATAGTCTTTATTCTGATTTGTTAACAGAAACTGTTAACGCAGAGACATTATGAAAATGAAGTGTCTTATGATATCTAATATAACAAGAAAATATACGCATTTTTAGATGTTAAAGGAGAGAGAGAGAAATGGGGTTTAACGTCCACTCGACGCAAACTAGGTCATTTCGGGACTAACATATGGTCCAATTTTATTTCAATAATTCGCTTGCGCGTAGGGGTCTTTAGCAGTTGGAGGAAACCGGAGGACCCGGAGAAAACCCACGAGGTTGGACAGGCGACCCTACTCCTTGTCACGTACAACCGGGAATTCGAAACCACGCCAGTCGACTCAATGACAGTTTTAGATGTTAAAGACAATTCCAAGGCATAAGTAACTAAATTATGAAAGTACATTGTTTACAGGTACCGTAACTATTTTTGCCACATGATTAAACACTGATTTCCATATTAATATCGGATGTAAATATAATACTGAATTTGTACAATATTGTATTCCTTTTGTGAGATTAACTTAATCCCAATATTATGGTTTTTTTTTTTCTTAGATATTAGTCGGTGGGTAATTGGGTTAGTAAATCGTTTAATACCGATATTAATTGGCTATGTGTTGCGTAATTTGTCAATAATGTTGATCAAAGATCTTTTGACATACGACAATGATTATATTCGCGTCAGTAGTTATTAGATATTGAATTCGGATGATTTTAGATGACCAATGATGAGTCGTATAATACCCAAGAAGCGGCACTCTGAGACATACGGTGTGGATATAAACGAGTGTATGTCAGAAAATTAATAAAGATTCTGCATGCAGCTTCCAAAGATGACCGAAAGCAGGTTTTGGGCACAGCTCTCAATGCTGAAGATGACGCTAGTAATAAACTTGAAAAGGTAAACATCTATGCACGCTGTAAATCATATAAGCACATAAAGACAATAAGAATAACAATATTGTTATGCTAAATAGATATCATAGTCTTTGACAAAGAATTTATAATACAAATAGTTGAAATTTGACACCATTTGATTTTTGTCACAATTGCTAAAATTTAGAAAAACTGCCCAGGTGAGTGGTTTACCATCCATTTGTTCTGAACCAACAGCGCTAATGAATGATGGAATAGGGTTTAACGTTCTGCTGTTTTGCACAAACTGAGCTGATGAAGACGGGCATATGCCATACAATGTATGCGCATAATATTATGTTTAATAAAAGGACAATTGGTGTATCGAGTATAATACCCATTTAAGAAATGATTGCTAAACAGTGTTCGTTCAAAATAACCTTTTCACAACACAACATTCAAATCTATGTAGATTAGTACCAATTGACATATCTGCCAAGCTGTGTAATTTTGTGGTATTCTGTTGGGTATCACGAGTCTACCTTTGTCGGGTGTCGTCTGCTTTCGCCGCTTCACCGACAAAAGTCTAGGTCACCAAGACGTCAGTTTACAACACACTAACGTCTGCGTTATTAGAATACGTCTTAGTGACCTTGACTATGTAATTGACGTCACTCGTCACGGTAAGCTTAACCTGTTGCTCATAGAAATATATAAATATTTATATACAGTTACATGTAGTATATGTTGGTAGATTGTTGTCATTCAATGTGTCTTATTGATTATAATACCAAAGAGTCTATTTTGCTGCAATCTAATATGGCGAAATTCATGACGTGGATTTCTACATTGTGAAATTCAGGACAGTGATGTGTATAGTATTCTGCAATCTTCTGTGTCAATCGACGAACAGTTATGGCTCAAGCGCATACATATAGTTTAACCCGTTTATACGACAATCACTGGGATAGTTTCGGAGTACGTTTCTTTTGATTGGATATATATATAGGCTACGTTCAAAGAGTCATCTTTATTGTAGAAACAATATATCTCTGCAGTTGAAGACTAACCACTATTATCACCCAATAACACATTCTATAGTAGATATCGCTTGTGTGATAACTTTCATATTTTACTGAATTATATTTATTTTTTGTGCGTGTAAGAAACGGTTGGGTGATGTCGATAAAGTAAAAAAAAACTCGGCAAAGCCTCGTTCGTTTTGACATAATCGGCTGTGTTGATATTTTTTGATGTCAGAAAAGACTCGTAGGAGATTCTATATAATTATATCTGTTGCCCCGATTACTGTCAATTGACTTTATAATTAGGCATGTGAATATTTTTAAAGACAAGTAAGTGTTAAAAACAATTTCTACACAAAATTCATTATGGCTGAACAGAACAATAAAGAATTGTGTAGTATATGTTTGAGTGATTTTAATCAACCTAAAATAATCGACTGTAATCATACATTCTGTTTCACTTGTCTAGATGATTACGTCAACAAAACTGCGACTAATAATCACTTTATTTGCCCGTTGTGCCGTTGTAATATAGAAGTCCCTGTTGGTGGAGTTCGGAAATTTACATCGAAACTAACCACTGTGCTTAATTCTGAAACCAACGTTCTTCAATGCGATGTTTGTGCAAATTCTTCTTCGATGTTCAGTTGTAAGGACTGTCAACAATCTTTTTGTGTAAAGTGTAGAATCCTTCACGATAAATTAAAGGCTTGCAAAGATCATAATGTTACCCGAATTTGTGAATTTTTAGTTGTGGATCTAGAATCAAAGAGGGGTGAAACTATTAGTGATGAAGTGACATTTCGCCATCAGATCGACCAACAATTTTATTGTGACGACTGTTCATTGGTCGTCGACAATGATAGTCGTAATATTTCCCATAGCACACACAGAATATATGATTGCAATGATGCAGATGTAAAGAGGGAAGCGAAAGAAGAACTGAAGGTTTTAAATGAACAGTTGAAAATCCATATTGATAAATTGGAGACATTTTCTAAATGTTTAGAATTGAAGTACGCGGTGGTAAAAGATACAATTCAAGGATCCTGCAACATGGTTGATCGACAGGTCGATAAAATATGCGCAGAGGTCAGAAGAATTGGAGAAACCCTTAAAGATGAGATGAGAAAGACCGGCGATGAAGCGTTAAATGATAGATGCAAATCCGAGTTTGGCAAATTAAAGTGGGATACTAAAATTTTAACAGAGAATTTAAAAGCTAGTGTTGAATATTCCACAAATATTCTGCGAGATCCATCCATTGTTTCAGTCTTGAAACGAATACCTCTGGCCCGTCGGGAAAGAGAAAAGCATTGTTATAAACAATTGGAATTACCGGATATGAAATATGTATTATTTGAAGAGCAAGTTTTAGATAAAGCAATTTTGACCAAACAAATTGGCAGACTTATATCATGTCAAGGTAGTAGGTTTGAAAGTTCTTTTGCTTTCTGTGACGTCGGAACTTGGGGTGTTTATTATGGGTCGGAGAAATATGTCTGGGGTCTACCTTGGTGTATCGGTGTAATGAGTAATACTAATAAACCGGGCCCTTCATTAATGGTCTCAGTCAAACTTGGCCAACTAGATGATCCAGATATTCTATCATGTCGAGCTAATTTCATTATTGAACTACTTAACCCTACAGAAAACGGTACATCTGTTGTGGAGGAAGTCAATAATTGTCAGTTCACACCCGCTCGTTTTGGAGAATATTGGTTTAACTCGCGCTTTGTAGATTGGAATAAATTTCGATACGGTGGATTTTTAGTCCACAGTCAGTTTAAAATCACAGTAACATTTAAAAAGATTGTTATCCGAAGACGGAAGACCAAGAGTTAGGTTAAACAATTACTGCGCATGTAAATACATTGATTTACACCTTTTTTTCGTAACATTTTAGTCCGGTAAATATAATAAATGACCTAGAACAAATAACAACAGAATTTTTCTCGACGGAATCTGGTAGAAGGGCCCATGGAGGTCTCCCAAACAAAAATCGCCCCAAATAAAAAGATAGGTTTTCAAGTAATTAGTATAAATCCAATGTGGCCGCCATTGGCACCTTAAAACTCCGATATCTCGGAAATGGTTGAGTTTGGAGGGTGTAAATGTATTTCTGGTAGACGTAATTTTGCAATCTCAACCATTCACGAGATATTGGAGTTTTAAGGTTTCGATGGTAGCCATATTGGATTTATGCTAATTGTTGGCCGTATGACGTTATGACGTCACCTGGCATTGTTTTTCTAGTTCCTTGGTAGCCTTTCCTATCTACCCGTAATACATTTGCATCCTCTAAACTCAACCATTCCCGAGATCATATCGGAGTGTTAAGTTTCCATTGCGGCCATATTGGATTTATGCTAATTGTTGGCGTCATTTAGCTGTGTTTTTCTGAGCCATCTGTACCACTTTCTATCTACCCGTAATACATTTACCCCCTCCAAATTCAACCATTCCCTAGATCATTTTTGCTAATTACTTGAAAACATATCTTTTTATTTTGGACGATTTATGTTTGGGAGACCTTCAGGGACCCCTCTACCAAATTCCGTCGAGAAAAATTCTGATGCAATTTGTTCTAGGTATCCACTCATTATGGCTTATCTTTACCCGACTATTTCCCAAGAGAAAAGGTTGTGTGTATTAATTACGTGGCTTGTTGTATGAATACATGCCTCAATTACTTAAGGCCAAAATAAAGACCTGTAATAGATAGATTTAGCCCTTACATAATCCATCTTTAGTAGGGAATTTTATTAGTTGATATTTTACATGATGTGAATCCTCCCAGCTTTTTCTTATATCAAATGCGCCTAATAAATTGCATAATTGTTGTATGTTGAATTTGTTTTTAAAGAGTGGCTGATATTTATTGTGTATTCCGGCAATGAATTGGTAGATTTGCATACAATACCTCCACTGTAACCGTATATTCAAATCACGTCAAATTGAAATCTGTTCCGTTGTTCTACCGACCAGCGAAGATATCCAAAACATGAATGCTTCTTAATAAAATCTAGGCGTGAGAGGGATCACCTGTGCTAAGTGGGGAAGACGCTGGTCCGCTATCCTGGAGGTCGGCTGTTCGATCCCTGCATTGACGGAGAACGTTTATCCACATTTTCCGTCGTGGTTCCCCCTTGTCAGTGACGCCTGACAAGGACACCTGTATAGTCGTTCGGTCCCATTGTACACATTGGCGTGCGCGTAAAAGATCCCTTGACAGTTGTAATTCGATATAAGAGTAGGCCGTAGTGCCGCTGTCCGGGCAAAATTTCCCTTATGGCACACTATGGTGTATGTCCGTCTTCATTAGCCCAGTTTGAAGCAGAACAGTAGGACGTTAAATCCCATTTCATTTCATTTCTATGCACCAGGTCGTCTGCTATTTGTGGTAGGTAAACGCACATGATTTTATACGAGAGAAATCAAATTGAACACTGGTCACCATGGTTATCAGATGTTAATGAATCCAGACACCTTTGTTACACGCCCTCCACACTGCACAGGCGAGTCTTCTTTCTGGATCATCAACCAGAAGCATTTTTCCGTGGGCGGGACGGTTTATTCAATACTACCCAATACAACCAAATATTACCACATATTACCCAATATTACAACATAATGATGCAAACTGGGCATATTACTTTGATTTTTTTCAAATAAAGCGAGTTATATCGCGGGAAATGTACCTCAAATGCGATTACCAATGTCTAGCTGTTTCATTTTCCTCCCTATATCACCCAAAACAAGCAAATAATAACCCAATTCTACCCAATACCCTATGATATTCTACCAAATAATACCCAATATTATCAAATAACCTAATATCGTCAAGTATCAGCACACATAGGCCTACGGGTCAGGGGGCAGCTGCCCCCTAACTTTCAGGCAATCTGACTTTTCGGACAAAAGGGAAAAGTGAAAACAAAAATTATTATTTCATCTTGTTAGGGGTGTTGGATGGCCGAATGGTTAGCACGTGCGCGCTGTATCATATAAGGTGTCATTGAGTCCACTGGTTTGGTTTCTATTCCCCGGTTGTACGTGACAAGGAGTAGGGTCGCCTGTCCAATCTCCAGAGTTTTCTCAGGGTCCCCCGGTTTCCTCCCATTGTTAAAGGCCCCTACGCACAAGCGAATTATTGAAATAAAATTGAACATATGTTAGTCCCGATATGACCTAGTTTGTGTCGCGTGGACGTTAAACCCCATATTTTCATTGAATACCACGAATTTGTACTGAATTGACCATGGATTAGAACATTTCGCCCGAAGTCACTCTACTTTGTGCGACATTGTTCGGGCATCGATTATTATTTGTCAATGCAGATTCAACAGTCTGATTGGTTAATTGAAATTCAGGTTGCCATAGAGTGTGATTTCGCATCTCGCAGATAACCAGAGCTAACGTCTGTTAACCCGACATTATTTTGGGCATGTCAGGTTCTGCCCCGCTAACATTCATCGAGCCCGTACGCCCCTGTCAGCACTTTAGTATAATTACTGCAACGAATATTCGATAATTTACAGAAAATTGAAATGGAGGCAGACCACCATTAAATTTCACCATCTACAAATTGTAGTTCTCTCTCTGTCTCGTGTCTCCCCTTTTGTATGCCCATGTTTTGCTGATTTGTGTCGAGTTGACGTTAACCCCCTCCCTCTATGTTAATAAATGTAATTAATAGTTTATATAACATTTCAGGCACAAAGAAAGACCTGCAATAGACAGATTTATCTCTCGCACAATGTATGTTTAAGTCTCACAAACGATATACGTGAAAATGCACAAGAAGACAAATTCTGAAAACGCAGCGTTTACAGATGTATATACAGTATGTGTTTATTATAAGACAATATTAGGACTATAAGATGATAGGCGTTGACTGTTAAATGCACTATGAAAATGCAACGCCTGCTGGTACATTATTTTTGCTTATTACAAGAAAATAGTAGCACCATAATATTCTAGGTGAAACGGCACATTCTGAAAATATAGGGTTTACGCGTTTATTACAAGACAATTGCTAGCATTATTCGGGTGATTAAGGGAGTAAGACGCTGGCTCGCTAGCCTGGACTTCCCGGTGTTGACCGAGAAAGTTCACCGGGATATTCTGCGTGGTTTCTCCTTGTCAGTTTTGCAAGACGGTGGGTATGACAAGGACAGTTGGCTAGTTGTTCGGATGGGATGAAAATCCGAGTCCCGTGTACACATTGGCGTGCACGTAAAAATCCCTTGTCAGTTAAAATTCGATATAAGAATAGGCCGTAGCGCCGCTGTCCGGGCAAAATTTCCCTCATAGGAAGATACACCTATTTCACTTCAGCACTATTCGGCGTTAAGGAAAAATGCGTTGAAGAATCACTATGGTATGAATAGACAAATTCTGAAAACACAATGTTTACTGATATGCTTATCACAAGACGATATTAAGCAATATACTAAAAGAGAGTACCTTAAATTCTTTTCGGGTCATATACAAATTATGACACTACTTATAATGAGTGTAAGGAAAAATTAGATAAAAAACGTCAGTTCGCCCATATCCAATATTCATTTTATATATAAGGAGGCCTCGATTTCAAATTAACGCCAAGCTCTTTAGTAATAGGAACCTTAATTGAATCTGGGTCAGCCGAGCAATTGCCCAGTATGGCCCTGGGTCGACATCGTTCTTGTGACACTCCGACGAATTGGTGCGTTTTTCTTGTCAGGCGCACAGATGTAAAAGAACCTTATACTGTTTCAAAAGATGAACAATTATATACATTTATGAATCGTGTTTATTTCAAGTTAAATAATATTGGATGACATATTTCTTTATGAATATGATTTATGTGTTTACATGATAATGTTAAAGGTTTTGTGATAAATATGTCAAATATGATCCACGAATCTTTGGTACTGGACATTTTGAAGGATTGAAAGTCTTCGCAGATTTAAACAATGATACAATTATTTCAAATCAAAATATGTTTACAAAATTTGATTTTATTACACAACTTTAAATGTCTAAACAAATGGCTTGAGAAAAGGCCTTGGCCTTCTAAAAGTGTGTCTGAGTCACCATAATTGTTATGGTTTTGATAAATATCGTGTTCAGTTAATGTACAAATTTAAATGATATAAATTTATATTATTTAAATTTCGGAATACTATTTTGAACATTAAATATTTATAATAAATTATCATTATTTTCTATTAGTAAATTTACATTAAAATCATTTAATAATAAAATAATATTAGAGACAATATTGATTTATAAATATATATCACATAAGTTTGGTTTTTCTTCTATCTTCCAAGTCGGTCGGTGTAGTTCAGCACATGTAGACGGACAACTGAATTGAAAGAAACAAAAAACAAATTACTGATGAGTTAGCATTTTACAGAATAAAACAAATATTTCATTGCTAACGAGTTCATGTTGTACTTTTATATCCATTCTTTGTCGATCATTTGCAACGTGGAATCGAACACAACTTCAACACCCAATCTTACAAATGATCGGCAGGACGTTCATATGGTTTTCCAAGAAGAAAAAGTTCTTGAAAGCCAATGAACAGACGCTTTAAGCCTGTGTAAGAAACATTTTATCCGACCACAGAAGTTTACATTAGATGTCAAGGGGGACAAAATGTACCAAAAAAAGTTAGATTTTCATGTAGTGTAGGCCGACCGAAATTAAAAGATATACTAAATGTTAATAGTAGATTGACCATCTTCGCGGTTATTGAGATAGACAAGTTCTTAATGACACAATAGTGTTTCAGTGCAGTATGTTTTGTTTTTAAATACTCACCTCATCGATGTAACCGTGGAAATTATTAAGGCTGGTACCACGACCAATCTGTAGAGCACACTGGCTTCTATTTACTGCACCTTAAAATACAATTTTTAGTAACTTATATTATTAAAGGTGCATTACGTGAGAGCTAAATCGGTCTATTGCAGGTTTATATTTTGGCTTCGAACTATTATTTACATAAGCCCATAACCAACTCTTTAGCCATCGGATGACAGATATTTAAATGGATTAGAACGCCAGAGATATATACTTATTTAACGATAAAATGGATAATCGAGACTTTCTACGATAATAAACAATCAACTCTACATCTTCAAACACCCATAACTTCGCACAGAATAAAGTAATTTGAATGAAAATTTCAATATACTCATTTTCATTATCTATTTTTTAACTGTTTTAACAAAAACGAACAACTCTTTATCTAATCTTGCATAATTTATCTTCCCCAAAGTGATTCGACGCTTAAATGAAGAAATTGTTTAAAATCAATCAATAATTTTAAAAGATGAATGATAAACACAAAAATCATAAAATACAACGTAGTGAACCAACACCGATTCAATTTTTTTTAGACTAACTAGCTATGATTTAATTCCCGTTTCCACACAGGGTTATAACAAAATATTTATACACTTACCATCAATAACACTATGGACTTCATTACCATTAACAGATCCTGATAGAAGTTTACCTTCTACTTTATAAATGAGATTATTCCAGCCAACCTGCAGATATAAAATAATATGAGTTATTTTGTTGTAAGTTATTAAAACTGTCCACGCTCACAAAAAGGTATTCAGTGATATATTGTATGTATGACTCAGAAGAGGTAGAAATCAACTATTCTGTGCTTGTCGCTATATGAAATGTGGTTACATGGCGCCAAACATATGGTGAAATATACGAGATGGGCTATAAGATATCACAATACTATTTATATACTTAAATATAAAAACAAATATGACAATTCTTAAGTTTAAAAATAAATATCATGAACTTTTAAGCATACAAATATTAAAATAGATACATGAAAATGATATATCCAATGAAAATTTAAAATAAAAACCCGTTCCTTTTTTAAAAAATCTAACACGTTATGATATAAACCCAGTTGGGATGAAAATTCGAATTAAAAGGTTTGGAAATATAATGGCTTACCGCATTGGGAATTGAAACGGCTCCAGCTTTACCAGTGATAGTTTGTAGACCAAACAATGTGGTTTGATGATTCAAGGCGATGAGGAGTGATCCTGGTTTTCCACAATCACCATTGGATACAATAGCCTCCTGTCCATACGCAGCACCATTTTTCCTGTAAGTCACTTTTATGATGAGTTTGGTGCCGAATTCAACATTGGCGAATCTTGGGATTCTCAAACCACTTTGTCCATCAAAGTAAGCCACACCTGCACTCACGGTGACACCAATATTCTCGATGTAATTACCATTTCCAGACTGGTCGGTTACATCATTGTCAAATGGCAAATAAACAACTCGTTTACATTCTGTAAAATATTAATATTATATTAAAATAAAAATACTTTATAGACTTTTCCATCTATTTAACCACACAATCATCAGGAAGTACATTCGTTTTAAAAGTCTTATGTCGAACATGACATCGTTTACTCGAACAAAACACTTGAGGATAGGTAGGATTGTCCACGTTAAATTTAAAACTGTTGAGGCTCGAAAAGTATGCTATATAGTATAGAAAATTTCCCCAGTCTGTCGGAACATTAAAGCGTGTTCAGTTAACGAGGTAATGAAATATAAATGCGTCAAGGTGAGAACCCTCGTGGTCGGACATCAAATTTTGAAGTTATTAAACTGCGTCCTATAAGAAAATGGTACTTACGGTTTGTGACTGGGGTGTCGACAGCATCAACCAAAATTGTACATCCGCATTCTACAGGGTTGTATGCTGTGCCTGGTGCGCATGCCATCTGAACCCAATGATAATTTGACACAAGTTGTTCAAAGACTCGGTTATTGTCGTACACAGCACGTTTGTCACAAACTGAAATCAGAATTTAAAGAATATAAATACTCATTATTGAAATGATGGGGTAGAAATAAGTGTATTATTTGTATTTTCGGAGAATGTCTCATTTCCAGGGTTTAATCCTCGATAAAATGTTCCAAATCGATTATTTAACTCAAAACATTTATTCAAAATATCAACGGTAATGTCCCGGCTTGGATCCGGTCGGGGTTCAGAGAAGACTATAGCTGACGCTGGCTTGTAAATCCTCAGCAGTGATGACGAATGTTGACGAATCTTCATTTCACCGTATCTTTGTAAATACCAAACGAAACTGAATCATACGAGTGTGTGTGTTGGGGGAGGGGGGGGGGCAGATCATGGCAAATAGCAATGATCACTCGAGTGTTGTCTTTCAAGATAGGTGTACTTCCTGGTGCGGTCCAGTCCAGAGAAAATGGTATATTTGTGCTCGTGTCATATGGCAGTATTGTATCGGGCAAGTGTTATGCTTCTATTAATCCATTTATGATGTTTAATGGTATGCTAAATTCTTTTTCCGGCTATTCATGAAATGTCTTTGGAATTTATGCTCGATTTTCTATTTAAATGAATAAAATCATTGTTTGGATGTGCTCATCGATTTTGTGTAGGTAGATATCGACCCACCAATAAGGCTTCTTACTAAAACTAAGTAATTTTTACTGTCTTAAGTTATATCCTAGTGCGAAAAATGCAATTAGAGCAATTTCAGGGTAAAAGCATTTAGTAAAATATGTGCCAGTGTTTACTTACAAGTATTGACAACATCTCCTGCACAGTAAGCATCACATCCTTGGCTATAAACACACTGTCCAGAAACGTAAGCAGAACCTTTAGCGCAGCATTGTCCCACAGATGAACCGTTGACGCAACCGTAAAATTCTCGACAATTTCCACCATGTTTGTAAGTCTGGGTGTACATACTTTTGCAGGGATCTAAAAAAAAATAGTATTGCCATTACAAAATAAGTTAATTTTGAAATATTTAATGGTTGAAAGGGCAGCACAACTTACTAAGGAGAATATTAGGACGATTTGCATATTAGTGATTTGCAAGTCCAACTTCAGTAAGTGGCATTACGGATTGATATGGATCGGGATTTCTAGTTAGAGCATGCATCTATAAAACATAGAAAGTCGTCGGCAACGGCCACTTGAAAACTGGAGACACAATAACTAGTACAAAATGAATAAAGTTATAAATGTCTACGTTACAGCGTGGATAGACTCCACCACGATTGACTAAAAACCTGTACTCACCAGCAGCGCACTTGACAGCAGCAGGAAAGTTACAAGTCAACAGATCCTGGTCCCAAAAAAGTCCCTGGCCACAGTCTCTTATTACCGAGTTAATGACGCCCTCTAATCCGAATTCACACTGGACATATTTCTGACAATCTATGGGATGTGGGTTATAGCCTATACCATTGGACATCTTGCATCCTGCACAAAGGTCAGGTTTTACAGTAGTGGTGGTGGTTGTTGTTGGTGTGGTTGTGGGAATGGTTGTAGTGGGTGCTGGTGTGGTTGTAGTTGTAGTGGTTGTTGTGGTGGTGGTTGCTAAAAATAAAAGGAAGCATTAAATAAATATTATGAAATCGAATCCTAAATTGGTAGCAGTATAGAAACACGTCATCCCAATTAACATTTATCTTTATATGCAACTTAGTTAACCGCTCCAAATCCAAACTATGGTATCATATACTTACTTCTTTTCTAATATATTTTGACGTTTTTGTTGCTCTTTGTGATATTTCAAATTAATTTGTTATACTCACTTGGGCACACAACCTGTACAAGGTTACTCAAAAGTGCTCCGATCTGGTTAAAGTTGGAGGTGGTGAGAACTTGAGCATTTGAGGCAATAGATTGCAGTTCCAGGGTGTCAACATTAGCTCCTACACCAATGGCGACCATATTAATTCCAAGACCTCTGGATAAGGCAGCTTGATGGGCGGTGGCAGTTGGATCCTTAGAGATACCATCAGTAATGACAACACCAACAACTGGAACTCCCGGTCTTCGTGAGGCAGAAACCATGGCATTCATTTCAGCAATAGCTAGAGCGGTGTTTGTACCATCACGGGGGTGTGCTAAACCCTGGATTCCGGTGATGAGACTGGCAGCATCTCCACTGAGGTCGATTCTAGCAGCTACATTTGAACTGAATAAAACGACACCGAAACGTGTGTTTTCTGGTTGAACATTCAAATCAGTAACTAGAGATTCTAAAGCCGATTTCAATAGAATGAAATCATCAGCTGCGATACTATCCGAACCGTCAACAACTGCGACTACGTCTAATAAACTTTTACAATCTGGGACGGGAGCGACACTAAGAGCTAAAAAAACAAATATATACGAATAATGGAGTGATTTCGGAATATTAAAACTTACTACTTTAACTCTTCAACATAAGTATCCCCCATCATGATGAAAGAACCGGACGTTGAAACGGCGAACGAGTAAATAGGGTTAACTATATTTCTATGAGCCACATTGTATTTATTACGTAGTTTGCGAATCTTAGAATATTTTGCGGATACATCTGCATTCGAGGTTTTTTTGCCTTGAATTTTTTATGAGGGGCTTGAGAATTCCCAGCACATTATGTTCAAAATACTGTCCCACTTGGAAAATGGTAAACATAGCAAAGTAACATATATTAGAAAAGTATATATTGCAATACTGATAAATATTATGTGCGATACAAGGCAACGGCAGTTTAGTATAAATACAATAACAGCGTTTCCTGAACACCAGATTTCTCTATATTTTGCTTTAATTTGTTACATGATATGGCTAAATCTTTCTGATTCGAGTTTTTTTTTGTGGAATGACTGTCTGACATCCTTTTAAATTTTACGTCTGTGGAAAATGCCAGCGTTTCGATATAACCCATTTTGTGTTCACTGTCTACAGAGTAAGTTAAAAATTAAACTGCTATTACATGTACTAAGCAAGCTCTAACATGATCGTTCGAATAAGAACTTTACGTCTATGGATAATGCCAGTGTTGGGTTATAATTCATTTGGTGTGTACTATCCACAGAGTAAGTCAGAAATTAAACTCCAATTACTCTCCAAGCCGACTTCAACTTAATCGTTCGAAACACAAATCTAATCCTTTTGTCCCAGCAAAACATCACCAATCAAAATAACATACCAGATCACCATCGTTCAATATTTCATCTTTTACCAAAATCAACGAAGTTTAGCATTCATCACTTAAGTTTAAAGTTTATCTTATATTTTATACAAAACACTTTTTGATTATGAAAGTATTTTAAATCGCCTACCTGGTACATATTCGTGTTCATCAGCTCGAATTGACAGAAAACACATCAAAAACACAAAAAATAATCGACAAACCATCTTTACTCTGTAAATAGAAATTTGATATATTTATTTTCATAAATCCAGATAATAAAAAAATGTAATGTTTCAATTCCTAAAAGTCCAGTCGGGGCAGAATAGGGCGTTTAACCCCATTTCATTTTATTTCTAATTCCCAAAAGCTATAGATACAAAATGGAATATACCTTAATAGATCATTGTGAATTTGGATATTGTGATGTTTAAATTAATTAAACTATGTTTATAGAAGAAAGATATAAATAAATAAAAATAACAAAAAAATTAATAAATAAAATAAGATAAAGCACAATAAAATACTGTGTTTTAAAAGCATATTCAAATATCAAACTAAAATTGTAAACGAACTTTTGATTTCAGTATTTACCTTATTGACGAAATATACTGCTGTATTCCCCAAATCCAGATAATGATAATGTTCACTGAAAAATGTATCGTTTTATATACCCTGGTAAGATACCTCTTCCTACGGAATTCAACCCTGACCTCAAATCTAACGGACGCCTGTCCTAAACCTAAACTTCCGCGTTGTACGCCCACAATAGAGGATAGTAGGGGGTGAGCTGATATATTATACAATGTACAAGTCTGGTAAAACGTCATTTGGTTTGGGGGTGCATTCGAAGACGTGTTATGCGGTATTTTGTTTTACGATAAGATGTCAGACAGCTCGACTTTTCTCATTAATTAGACAAATGTTGGGAGATTGATGAGTTCCATGATTTTATTTCAAATATTTTTGACTTGTTGTTGAACTTGTTTTCTGTATATACATAGTTATGGTATTTATGAAAACAAATTGTTCAATTGAAATATGTATTGTCTTACAATTACATATTTTCAGGGAGTCGCGGGGGCTTTGTGAGTAGGCTATGACGCTGGCTCACTTAGTAGCCTATCAGGTTACCAAATGCTTCTTTTAAAATAGACTTATAATAAAATTACTGAGTGTCAAATATTTGAGAATCCAAATGTTAAGATATGAATTTTAAAATATTAATATTTACATTCATAGAGCTTTAGTATTACGACATTTAACATAAAAGCTTTTGAAATAATAGAGCTTTAATATTATGAAATTTAAGGTATTAATATTTACAATTCATAGAGCTTTAATATTAATACTTTAGTATTACAAAATTTAAGATATTAATATTTACAATGAATAGAGTTTATATATTACGAAATTTAAAAGTATGAAAACAGCTGTTATTCTACTGGTCATTTATTTGTTAATTTGTTAATTTAAAATATATATTATGTAAAGAATGAAGCAAAATCCTTATCAGAATAAGTGACATATGTTATTACATTCTTCTCATTAGTGGCATTGGACTTGATTGATTGATAATTGCATTCTTTCCTCTTGTTAAACAAGGGTCACAGGGTACAAGCGTTTGTTGATATTTCTAAATTTGACAAATGTTTTCGTGTCTTATTTACTGAAGAATTGACATCAAAATTGTTCATCTATACTACCACATTGATCTTATTACAAACAACTGGGATAACTACATGTATTTTAAGAATGTGCTAGAATTGTACTCTAGATATACATGCTGGTGGGTGTCGTGTTTGGGTACAGAAAGGCACTATAACAGTATCTACCGGAGAACAGCGGTCTTTATAATCAGAACATCGGCGAGGAACATAATTCGAAAACTTAAAGAGTTAAGCCTTCTTGATTTAGACCAGTATGATGTATTGATGCGCTATTTGGATAATATGAAGGGACAAACTTATATCCGATTAATTATTTGTTTCGAAAGATTAAGCTGAAATCGGCTGGTTTATGATTATTTGCTTACTGTGTCGACAGTGAAACACAAAGTCACTTATATATCTAAACTCTGGTTTTATCCATAGAGACAAAAGATTTTCATCCCATTAAACAAATCAATATACACAATTCAAATGAATTGACTGAAATCGAAGTGGTCTACTCAATTTAATTATGATGGGTCACCGTTTCCAGATAATTCCGTATTGATATCAAACAGTGGGGCACACTCCCTCTCTCGCCTTTTCTTCTTTGCCAGATATTTCCGAATACTGAATGAATTAACGATTTTAATGCCTATTGTTTATGGGAAATGGGGTGAGGTGGATGACGTGTGTCCACTACTAATATGGGCATAGCAACATCCTAATCATCATCAAAAATGGCCATGTGTCTGTATAACAGATATCAACAAAAGAAGACAGCAACCTGAAAAAGTTGGGGGGGGGGTATGTTGCCGGCAGTGTGTAGCAGGAGAGCAAGTAACTTTAATGGCTATCACGAAATATTAGGTTAGAAAGGTTCGTCCACAGAGCCAATCCCTAACGCTATGATCGCTATCATAAACTTTAGCAGTGATAGGATAAAAATAATCCTTTGCTTGAGCAGTGGTTGTCGTGTGGTGGGGCACAGATCCCTCTTCTAGAATTTCCCGGGTTGTCGGGCAGAACCATCTGCATTTTCACGGGGTCTCACCATTCAGTGATAGTGCCAGTGGGGCTGGCGGGCTTGTAATAAGAATTCGAAGACGCTGCATTGAGACAAAATTCTTCTCCTGTTAGTCTCACAGTTAAATGAGTATGCGGTTGAAGAGTCTTTAAATTTATTCATTACAAACTGAGCAAGATTTTAGGGGAAATGAAATTGACACTATTGTATCCAATTTATCCATTTCACATTCATTTAGGTAATTGTCCAATGATTTTTTTTTTTAAAGAATACCGGTTTCGGAAAAAGAGACCTTCGATCCGAAATAATGGCTGTCAACCGTCAATATTTAAAAAATATAAGAGAGTTCTTTGATCACTATCCTGTCAGTCTTCATGCAATTATTAGCTTAAACATGCATTATGCAAGAGCAAAATCTGCTTATTACAAGTCTTTCTTTAGGCCTGAAATGTTATCTAAATTATCAATTAGACATTAATTAACTTATCCAGGCCATAATAAACTCTCGATGTCAAGGCTAGCCTTCGATGTTGGCTGGATTAGATTCATATATGCCGCTAACGGTTATTGATAATTAAATCAATAAAAGTGGATAATCGAGACTATGCTGTTTATATGAATGATTTTAGTAATGATGACCGAGACTATGCAAAAATTTCAGCCGCTTCTTTCTCGGCTCATAGTGGATCAATTTGACTGAAATTTTCAGCAAATTACCTTTACACTATCTAGTTTTTAACTATTATAGCGAGAACTGCCATCTCTTTATCTTATCTCCCATAATGTATCTTTAAATAGAACATATTTGTGTAAAACTCGAATAACACTAACACATAACTATAAAAATAATAAAATATCTGACAGAAGACAGTTAAAAATTAATGTCATATGACAAAATATAATATGCCGTATACGTGAACATAATACGCAATGAGTATTATCACGTGACCAGACATATAATTTCCTTTACTATTATATATATATATATATACACACCCTGATATGGCAGTTTCGAATAAATAATTACTTCATAGTGTTGTGTATTAAAAAAGCATGCCGCACAAAGGCACATCCTCCAGGGATAGGTTGGACAGTATGCCCAAATACGATAATAAAACACGTGTGTATGATCAAGTATGTCGAAATGTTGTTCATAATTTGGTGGATTGTTAATCCATTGCAATGTTATGAGTGGAATATCAGTTCAAAAACGAATCAATTCAGTATTAACAAAGATATAAGATCAATTGAAAATATTTCAACAATCGGCATTCTCTACTCTCGTTATCTGACGTGGTTCCCCCTTTTAGTAGTGCAGGACGCGGGGCCAGGCAAAGAACATAGTGGTTCGGGTGGGACCAAAAAATGAGGTCCCGTGTACACATTGGCGTTTACGTAAAAGAACCACTGGCAGTTGGAATTTGAAATAAGCCCTGTCGGTGTAGAATAGTAGGACGTTAAACCACATTTAATCTCATTTTAATTATCACTC